ACAATATTAATTTGAACTGCACAACTGATTTATTATTGGAAGAATTTGATGAGAGACACCTGAGTTTGTATTGCGATCTCTGATTTTAGTATTTTGGTGTCACGACAAAGCAGAATACAGTTTGAGATATTGTTGAGGAGACATGTGTAGTAGGGTCCATGCTGGGAGAAAAACCAGCCGAAGCTTGTTTGCTGGTCTCCCAGACTGGATTGTTAGCTGGTTTTAGAGGGGTTTGGGCATCTTTTAGCTAATTAGACCAGCTGAACACTCAGTTAAACCAGCTAAACACCAGCTTGAACATGTTGAGAGACCATCTGACACTAGACCATCTTTTTTACGGTCTATAGAAGAAAATAAATATTAAAGACCTCACTTATGATTTTTTTTTTTTCACTCTTATGGGTGGTTAGATTTGGCACTACAACTCGGCTATTTAATGCAAAATGTCAATTTTTTATGTTTTTTTTTTTTTTTTTATTTACTTATAATCATAATTCCAGCCAGAAGAAGCTGAAAAATATGCATTGTACATAGAGAGCATAGCATATGCTAATTTGCTTCTCAACTTTTCCTAAAAAAAAAAAAATACAATAATAAAAAATATAATAATAATAATTTCCTATTTTAAGGTTACTCCCAACCCTGGAAACATATAATTAGAAAAACATGCAATATAACAATTAACTAAAATTTGTTAAACATGCGTACAACTCTGATTTATTTTAAACCAGCGCTTAACCATCATTGTAAAATGCTTTGTCAAAATAATTTTGACATGTCCCTGCCATTTGTCTCTTAGTATTATTATTCTTTTTTTTATTATTTTTTTTTATTATTATTTATTCATATTTTTCTTCTTAATATTATTTTCTATAATAAATAATGACTTTTTTATCTATTATGGTTATGCAGAGTCACTTACAATAAAAATAAATAGGGAGACAATTTTTTGATTCACAATCAGAAATGTGTAGCTTATTAATAATAAAAAAGTACTTACATTAATTGATCTGTTATAATGTGTTTTATTTTAGCTGTAAAGTTGTTTTCTTCTTTTTTTTTATGGTCATTTTGGGGGTTTTGCCATTACATTGTCTTGGTAACAAAGTTGTTAAATTGGACACAACTGTCAGCATTATGGACCTGTTTTGCCCCTGTTTCTGTTTCAGTGTTCCCTTATTTGGTCATGTTCCTGTTGTCTCATTATTAGTTGATTCCCCACACCTGTCTGTCCCTCGTTAAGTTTAGAATAAATGTGTAGTCTGCCTCATGTTTCCTTGTCGGGTCTTGAACGTCATCCTTGTGCTCTGTGTCTCCCAGTTGGATTATTAAAGACTCGTTTTGTGCAATCTCCACGTCTCCACATTCCTCCCGTAAGCAAAGCGTGACAACAACACACACAAAAAAGTTTTTCACAACAAATTCATGCTAACATATTGTTTACATCTTGCGGCTAACCTAACATCTACAGATTGGCCTCATTCACTTCCATTGTAAGAATCTCACTGTAACCCTGATTAATGGTTTTTATAAAGATAATCACGGACAAGTGGGTTCCTGTCCTCCACCCGAACCTCCTCCTTAGTTCCCACCCGTTCCCCCCCCTCTGTTGTTCTACGGCGAGAGGACGCGCCTTCCGGGAGCGGGGGGCGATATGTCAGGATTATGTACCTGTTTTGCCCCTGTTTCTGTTTCAGTGTTCCCTTATTTGGTCATGTTCCTGTTGTCTCATTATTAGTTGATTCCCCACACCTGTCTGTCCCTCGTTAAGTTTAGAATAAATGTGTAGTCTGCCTCATGTTTCCTTGTCGGGTCTTGAACGTCATCCTTGTGCTCTGTGTCTCCCAGTTGGATTATTAAAGACTCGTTTTGTGCAATCTCCACGTCTCCACATTCCTCCCGTAAGCAAAGCGTGACAACAACACACACAAAAAAGTTTTTCACAACAAATTCATGCTAACATATTGTTTACATCTTGCGGCTAACCTAACATCTACAGATTGGCCTCATTCACTTCCATTGTAAGAATCTCACTGTAACCCTGATTAATGGTTTTTATAAAGATAATCACGGACAAGCCGATATTATATTTTGCGGTAATCGACATTGTGCCGCAGGTGCTGTCAATAGAGTTTAACTTTTACTGAACCCAGGATTTTCCATTAATGTGCACAATGAGCAAATGGCCTTAACAGTATGTACATCTGAGATCTTGCCCTAACCTGCTCCTATGGACAATAGACATATTCACTGCGTGACATTTGGGGGGTTTCTGGTTATTTCAGAAGTCTGCCTTTTGCCAGGAGCATTGACACAGCAACACACAGCCTATTTTCCTTCAGATACAGTAAAGTGAGTGTGTAGCAACAACAGCCTGTCTCTCTCTCTCTCTCTCTCTCTCTCTCTCTCTCTCTCTCACACACACAACCTTGAGGTTACTTCTCGGCGTGGTGTGGGATCCCGGCCCTGCAGGCTACAAGTTTGTGCGGCAAAGCGTTTATAGTCTTTGGCATGGAACTGTTGGAGGTGCTGGTTTGGCCCTCTTACTCAACCCGCTGAAAGTTATTGTATTGTCACATGTAATGGAAACAATTGCCAAAAGAGACAGTCAGCAGAACCCAATACAGCGTGGCACACATTCCCTACACACCTCTCTGTCACTCCCTGACTACGGGGGCAAACGCAGGGCACAGAACACCCAGACTACCACAAGAACCCCACAAGGCCTGCTGTGGATATTCTTTATTCAGTGGGTCACAGTTCCAAGAAGATAAAAATGGCTGGAATAGCCATAAAATTTATGGCAGAGAGTGGAGTAGAGTAATGACGCCAATGCTTGGCTCAGTTACTATATATTTCAGGGTGTCAAGTGGCTTGTCAAGCTTATTGTTATTTTTAATTTTAAGTCGAAATTTGGCTTGCTGTCAAAATCGAATGGAAACTCACACATAAAATCCTAGTATTTGTTCCTGTTCGTACTATAGTTCCCCCAGACCGAGTGGTATTTAAATATCCCATGGGCTGGGAGGTGATAATGAGAAAGTGTCCCCTTGAAAATGATCCCGTGTTCACTTGTAAGCAAGGTGAGGAATTAATTATCTAGCCTAAATGGTTTCACAAGTTCATTGCTACTACACACAATGTGTTTCTCCTTAAATCATTTCCCATGAGAATATGTTCCAGCATTAACTGCCCCGTTCCTCACACTGGGAGTCCAGACCGTCTCCAAAGACTGTTCCCTTAATAACCCTCAGTGGCTTTTCTCCAGGTCTTTGAGAAAGTACAAGCTGAACTGTCCAAGTAGTAGAAGGATGTTCATTTGTTTCAACGACCGAGCTGAGAATCTGAAATATTTTTTGTCAAGCATGGGGAAAACAAATGGAAGAAAAATCCTCAGAAATGTTCAGTTTGCTTAAGCATGTTGCCAAATAATGCATACATTCAACATACTTTGTCAGTGTCAAAAAATTATATGTTTTCAGTGGACTTTCAACATTTTTGGTAATTAAGATCTGGCAACATACTTTTTTGTTTTTATATATGGGCGAAAATTTCACAGACCGCTTTCCTCATGCATGAAATCACCCACATGCCAACAAACCAATGACAACGTGAAACAATAATGACCCAAATCCCTCCGTAACTTATTTGCAGAAAATTGCCGTTGTTTGTCAAACAATTCACGGACAGTTACGTATTCCCATAATTTTGTTATATTAGCTTTAGCAGAACCTGATTTTACCAAGTGAGACATGTTCCTGGATCAACATCTTTGTTGACCCTGGAACAACATTGTGATTAACCAATCAGATTTGAAGAACCAGTTTATAGTTTTTGTGAAGTTTAAGACTTCCAATCAGTGTTTGGTGCTTGTACATCAGTGTCATTCATCTATCATTTCCTCTGATTTTAGGGATTACTCATGGTTAAGGTTAGGTTTAGGTGTAGGGATATGGTCAAGACTACATTTATGGATTAAAATGTTCCAGGGTCAACAAAATATGTTGACCTAGGAACACATCTAACTCAGCAAAATCAGGACGTGCATTAGCTTTATGTTACACCTCAAATCACGAGGAATTGTATAGCAATGTTAATATTACTAAGCCAGTCCCCAAACTCATTCTCTCAAATGTCTTGGGTATGCAAAGCATTCGCAGCTTTTATGGACGGATATTGAGTACAGCAGAAAATTTCATTCATTTTCTCCATGGGGAAATTGATTTTTAACAATAACTGATCAACCTTTAAAGACAGACCTGTTGTACAATCAATAAACTGTGAGGTTGTTAATTGATTGCACATGTTTTTGTTGAACCCATCTGTTGTTCAGTGTTAACTGAACTTATTTTTAAAACAATCCTGTTTAATAGTGGAATTCTTGGTGAAAAACTACATTGCCCATGATGTAATACTGTAAAGAGAATTCCACCAATCAGAGAATCACAGCGAGCAAATCAGGCCAAACAAAAATCATGCCAGACAAGCTCTTTAGCCCACTCCTCCTCTTTAAGGGATCTAAAATAAGGTATAGCAGAATAAAGCATTAATATGTGCTTTATAAGTACTAATAAACAGCCAATCTGCTAGTAACAAGCATGATAGTAAGCAACTAGTTAGTCCTTAAATTAAAGTGTTACCGCCACATTTTTGCGTCAAATTTAAAGTTTGTACTGTGGTGAATCCTCTCATAGCTGGTTGGTTGGTTCATGGTTTATAATGCTTTAACAAAGCCTTTTTTATAAATTCCTATGGGAAAAATTAATGGGAAGAATACTTCCGGAACCAGCACCAGCTAAAATGTGGGTGGGCACTAATGCATTCTATATGGGTACCTATATATCATACAGTACATACTGTATATTGCCAAATTTGGTTTGGACTTGACAAATATTACTTGAAGTACATGTATGCTTATAAAAAGAAGAAATGTGCTCAAGACTGCTCTCTAGATTCTGCTAATGTTCTTGTCAAATCTAACGGTGATTTTGTTTTTGCAGCGGATGTGGCGCGCTGCTTGAACAGTGCGCTCCAGGTGGGCTGCGGTGCCTTCGCCTGTCTTGAAAACTCAACGTGTGACACAGATGGCATGCACGACATCTGCAAGTCCTTTCTCTACAGTGCTGCTAAATTCGACACTCAGGTATGTACGTTTGTATACAATTCAAGCCAAAGAACAATAAAGATATATCAGTTCATCAATGGATACACAATATCCTATTGAATTCAAAGGCGCCTTCTCAGCAGACAGTAGGAAGCTAAGAAGCAATGGGATTGGATGAATCCTGTCAAATGAATGCGGTTGAATTCCACTGAGATCTGAAAGGCCCGATGGGAGCTATTCTTTTCAAAAGTTCTTATTACAAAGTGATTCATAAACGCTTTCTTAATTGATGGTCTTATATAGACTCACATTATATCACAATAAACGTTGCCTTAGTAAGCTGACCGCCAATTTGACCTCAGACAAATTTCTTATTATCAAGTTAATACTTTGCAAATTGATTAGAATGAATCATTGAAAAGAACTGGTTCAAAAAAATTAGTTGTTTGAGAACCATTACTACTTTTTAGTGGCCAAGGTTCCACTTAATTATAAGATGGACTGAAGTCACAGTTCAGGCCTGTGCTTGACTTATGGTTTCCTGTTCATTTTGCAGGGCAAGGCTTTTGTGAAAGAAAGCTTGAAGTGCATCGCCAATGGCATCACTTCCAAGATCTTTCTAACAGTCAGACGTTGTTCCACCTTCCAGAGGATGATTTCGGAGGTTCAAGAGGAGTGTTACAGCAAGCAGGATATTTGTACAGTGGCCAAATCAAACCCAGAAGCCATTGCAGATGTGGCTCAGCTTCCCAGCCACTTCCCCAACAGGTAAGACTCATGAACAAGATGAAAAGATTTCATCTTTTGGTGTACACAAAAACACAAAAAGGGTTTCAGAGTTGTTGACCAAACTATCATGCTAGATTTAGGAATTAATCTAAATCAGTTAGGTGGTATATATTTTAAAGTATAAAACATTAAGTATATATTTTTTTTAAATGTACCTGCAGATAATATAATATTACTGAAATAAAAGACCACTTAAGTATATAAATAGTATACTTTCATGACTATGTTTCTGAACACAACTTAAGTGGACTTTAAAAAGTGCACATTTAATCATCTGAAATTAAAAGTTTTACTTTAAATAAGATTTTAAATCAGTCATTCGTTATTAATAAACTTTTGTCATGATATAAAAAGTACACTTATTTTGATGTGTTGACTAACATACTATAAAGCACATGTAAAGATTATATATTTAACTGTAGTGTGTTATTCAATATTACATTTAAAGTGAATATAATTTAAATTGACAAAAAAAATACACAGAAGTTTCAACAGAAATTACATTAAAATATATTTAGTTACCATAAAAGCTTGTCTGTACATTCAGCAGCACATTTTAACATTTTTAAACATATTTCCAAGACAATAGAAATTTCTGTCAGGACCACTATCGTCAAAGATGATTGAAAATTAGCATACAGTTTGGATTGGTGGTATGGTTCCGTTCTGGGCAAGAACTCCCTGCGCCTCCATGCAGCCTAGCATGGATGAGAGCAGGGAGAGCAGCAATAACCCCCAGGGTAAACAGAACAGAACTAACATAAATGTATTGCAGATATTGTTAAAGTTCAATCATTTTATGTACACATTTTAGAATTAGTCTGATTCAAAGGAGAATCAGAAGGCTGAATCCTGACTGACAGAGGAGGAGCTGGGGATGGAGGAGGGTAATTAGCTATTGAGCAATGCGAAAACTGCTGATAATACTGAGGGACCTTATATATGAATGCTTAGATAGGTGTCGTATTCCCATAGGTAGATGGGGATCAGCTGAAAGTCAGCGGATGCGAGCTTGACTAACGTGACCTGCCAGAACTAATGCTACGCTTGATAATTATTAAATTGCATATAAATATGTACTTACTTAAGACGGTCAAAAAACAGCTACTTGCATTTTTCTAGGGCTGTCAAATCAATTAATCGTGATTAATCAACAATTCCATCCACGTGTTCCTAAGTACAAATTCAAAATTTGCATAAAAAAGAGGAAATTTTTAATAATGAAAAAATTTAGATAGTCATTTTAAATTTGTAATAATGTAGATAGTACTCCTTAATCGTTATCTATCATGAGCTTGCTAGAAATCAGACTGATTTTGTGGCAACAACCAACATTGTAAAAAATAATTATTTGTAAGGCATTCAAAAAATATAAATGGTCTTAACGTGTTCATTTTGAATTCTGTAGCTTTCTGATGCTGCTTAACCCGCTAATTTGTTGACGCACTGGCTCAGCGTGAGTTTTCTCTGTCTCGCCGCAGGTTTTATGGGAAACTACTGCAGAGTTTGATGGAGTGTGACGATGAGACGGTGGACCTGGTGAGGGCAAATCTGTTGACCCGATTAGGGCCCGAGATCACCATGCTCTTCCAACTACTGCAGAACAAGCCGTGTCCGTCTGCTGCAGTACCTACTGGAATGGAGACTCGTGGTGGGTGGCGGTGGTCTGTCAGTCCCCATGGATACAAGATCCAGCCAAATCTACGCAACAGAGATGCCTCGAACCTCTTTGGCAAGAAACGCAACATTGGTGACAGCTCTTAACTTCAGACCAATTTGCCAGTCCAAACGTAGCCATCGTGCACACATACACAAACGCAAAGTGAAAACACACGCATAAAAAAAGAAAAAAGACAAAACAGTGGTTTATTTTCCGAGGCTATACAGGGACGCATTCCTTCTCAACTGGAAAAAAGCATGCACCAGTGCGAAAACATCTCGAATGTCCAATTCTATGTTTATCACTTCATATTCGACGAGTTTTACACGTTCGAGGGGAAATCGGCCTGTAGGTCGAGTCAAGGTCATCCAGCGGGAGTCATCTAGGCCATAATGTAGAGAGCTCTTAGATAGACTTATTTCCATGAAAATATCTCTAGAAACAAAAGGAAAATACTATCGGGAAAAAAAATCAATAAATAGCCATTTGTATATGAAATATATCTTACAGAGATTACAGCAAATAAAATGTATGTGTATATAAACTGAATCTAGCATTGATGTGAAATAGTTGGCATGTGTTATAGAAACAAGAGTGTACTATTTATTTATTAACAGATATTTTACTACTACTTTAGCTGTTAATCTCAAATTGCCACTAGCCTTTTTGTGAAACTCTCCCATTTGGTGAGAGCTATCTTTAAATATCGATGTGCAGGAATTCATTAAAATACCAAAAAACTCAAGTTCACTTCAAACGACGTCGAGTACAGCAACAGTAGATGTCATCGATCCACACTGGACGCCCAAACATTATTTATGAAACGAGTTAGAGACGCACAGGAAGGGACCGACAACTTCTCTTTGCATTCCTTCAGCTTCATTCTGTAGACCTACAGGAGCTTTTTTTTTTTTTTTTTCACTGTTCGCAAACATTTTCTTATCTCTTGGATCGCCTCTCTACTTATTATCTGTTCAAGTAGTGCAGTGCAAATAAACTCTGAGAGGAAGTTCAGTTCTAAGCCCTGAGCGCATTGTTAGCGTTACGTCTAAACACATATTTTGGCCAACTTATTGGACAGATGAACAAATTACTCCCTGGTGAATATGACATGCAGAAGTGAGTTCAAGCACGCTGTTCCCAGCGTCGCTGAGTCAAAAACTAAAATAAATAACCTAGATGTCTATTTAAAAACATATGAATTGAATGATTAATATTTATTTTCTTACTATATTATTTAAATGTTTATTTTATTACATTTCTTTGGGCAATATTAGTTCATTCAGCAAGCATCGGTTTACAGATATAATGCTTTTTAATTGCTTCGGCATCCATTTTTGGGAGCAATTTGAAATTTAATTAATTGATTGCTTATTTAGTCATTCTGAGTTCACTGACCCATGTAATGACTCTGTGCTGGTCATGGGGGAACGCGCTGGTCATACGAGTCAGGCGAATGCTATATGGGACCACTATAATGCAAACTTTGTCAAAAGTTTATCGAGCATTGTCACATGCTGTGTATACATTCAGGGTTAATCAGCTATATATACTGATTAACGATATATATATATATATATATATATATATATATATATCGTTAACTTTAATAGAGTAATTGACATCCAGTATTTCATAGCGCTGTCGTTAATGCGGTTTACGCGAGGGGTTAATTTGGGGCAGTCACTGCAAAGTGTTTTCCGGAGCCATTCTCGACACTATGCAATATACAACGTTTCCGAAAGGCCTATTTCTCTCAGAGTGTTTACCCAGGGTGAATGGGGAAGATCTCTCTGTAAGTGTTTCTTGGGGAAGTTCAGATTAGCAAAGACTGGAGAGCAGTGTATGCTTGGGAACAACTAAGGAGCGAGGGCCAAATCCAATCAAACTACCGCAAAACCACTTTTTGACTATTCCCGTCCAAAAATAAATTCCATAGCAAAGAATCCATTTCACCACTGAGTGATTTAACCATTCAAACGACCAATCTGCATCGCTTAATATGTCCTGATTTGTTTGAAAAACACAGGCTAACCATTAAACGGCTTGTTTTATGGTGAACTCGCACTGGCGCCGTATTGGTACTGTGGTGATAATACAGCAGTTTGATTGAATTGGACCCAATGAGAAATGAGAGAGCAGAACTGGAGAGGGCAGAATGACTGTTTTTACTTAAACCAAATGATCTGCAAATCTAAACGTAATTCACCAAACTATGCAATAATCGCTAGAAAGGTTGCAAACTAAAATCCATTCTATTGAGCCCTAAGCGGAAATGGGGCCGTTTAAGTTTTGAAACTAAGCAGCAGTAGCTTTTTTTCTTCTCCCATATGAATCTGGCCACCTTTTCTGTGTGTGTATGTATGTGTATTTATAATAATATATGCACTTTCCGTCTTACAGGACCACTATCAAAGGGCATTGAAGCATAGTTAGATTCTGCTCAGAAACACCAGAGTAGCTGCTGCATTCTTGTTGAACAGACAAGGATGCAATGGCAAAGTGAGGATTTTTTTTTGTTTGTTTGTTTGGGAAATACGGTATGATATCACAATCTATTAAACACCAAGGAAGTACCTGTACCAAACAAAGCTGCTAAACGGATTTCCAGCCCCACTGTGTTATGTCAAAGCTATTTTTCCAATACAATCCCACCGGTTTGTCCAGCATTCACTGTGTGTGAACATTTTCAAACTAAATGACCAGTGACTCGATTATGCATTACCACTTTCATGCACTTCTGGTATCTCAGCAACAAGGTGTCCATACCATCTCCAGAGAAACAGCAGCAAGTGCAGACGTTTGCTTTAGCCCAGCTCAGAGACATTTGATGTTTAAAAAGATGCTGGTGAACTACTCTTAAGTAGCATTAAAGTTGCAATGCTGTTCGGAAGGTTTGGCCACTCTTGTCCTGATCGCATCTTTTCTTCCGTTACTGAAAGGGTGTTGTACATTTAAATGTAAATGTATGTTATGTTGTTAAATTATTACAATGCAATTGCTAGACTGCTGTGGATATAAGGCTTTTTCTCTCATTGGAAGCCTCTGTCACATCTTCATATTGTGATTCAGAGAATTTTCCAAAAAAGTAATGGATTTTGTAAACTTCAGAGAATGTATATTTTATCAAATGTGTGTATTTGGTGCAAAGGGGTGCCTACGGCACTGAAGGTTTAGTGCAGCTCTCTGGTCATTTGAACTTGAACAGCATTGTGCCCTTATCACGATTTACGGTGGATTAGCAGAGCTTGGAGACTGACCCTTCTTGTTGCCAAATTTAAAGTTTATATAACCACTGCCTCAAGGAAACATCTAGACTTAGAATCGAATTGCCTGCGTTATAGAAATAGTATAGAATGTAGAGTGGGAATGATTGGAAAATGTGTGATCAAATTGTCCCAATCAGACATGTTTCAGGTTAGTTTAGTACTTAGTTGATACTGTCATTATACGTCATAACCAGAAAGATCAGGATGCACTACAATAGAAGCGATCTGTTCGTGCAGGTCCTTCGTTGTCTCAGATTCACCAAAAACTGGTGATTTCTCCTCTTTGATCCAGGGCCCTGAGGACTATAGGCTACACAAGCCATTAAACTGTATGGTACTCTCCTCTCAAAACTTGAAACCACTTATATCACTCATATTCCTGTTTATGTTCAAGATTCAATGTTTTTTTTTTCTTTTCAAATGCAGTATGAAACCAAAATAGGAAAAGATTGTTTTGCAAGGCATTCTATTTAAGGCATTCTCTCTTGTTTTCGTCCCTAATGTTACACATGATGGAAATTTGTGATTGATTTGCACTTTATACTGAGCCCATATACATATATACTTGTGTATATGTGTTGGGGTTTCTTTCTGTGCTGACAGGACAAAAAAAAAAAAAGATACAAATACATCAACTATGTGTCTTTTACTGTGTAATAATAAACTATGATCAGATCTGGCATATGATATCTAATTTTGTGTTCTTATTAACCAATGAATGTATATTTGCTAAAGTACTGGATGCATGAGGTGCAGTGTTGTTTGTTACATTCATCATGAGCAAGTTAATGAGCTCCTATTATAACCCATATATTCTAAATGGTACAATATTAAAAACTTGGCTTGGGTACAATGAATTGACTCAAGTAATGATATAGCATAATCCTAGAACAATCTTAAAGGGGTAATTTACTGCTGGCTGATGGGGTTTTAAAGAAAGCCAATTTATACAAAATCGTTGCTGCACGACTTAAGAAAACAATGAAAAAGGGATGTAGTGGGGAAAAAAAAGGTAGGAAAACTTGGAACACCCATAATGCACTGGGCTCAAACTGACTATACGTAATTGGGGATACAAAAATGCAATTTGCAGTTTTCACAAAAGCTGTCAAAAGTCATCCGGTTAATGCATTATTTTGTCATCAGATAGGTTGCTGAAAAATAAACAGGACTGTCTTGGTGCAGTTAACATGGAAAAATAACACACATTCTTCATTTACAGACGCATTCTTCATTTCATCTTCATACTACAGATAACAATACAACATTGGCTGAAAATCAGTGAAATTGCACTTAAACCATTTGGTTTCATATTCAGTCAACAAATAAAGGATCAACAACAATTTGACTAGTCCAACACTGTTCACCTGTATGTTCATTATGAACATACAGATATGGCCAAAAGAATTTCTACTCTAATTCTAATTCTAGTTTGGGTATTGCAGTAATGCAGTAATACAAAGTGTTAAAACGACACCATATAATGAAATTCTAGAGAATTCTGGGCTTTCGTATCTGTGGCAGGATCAATGACAAATAATAGTGTCCAGTGTTGTTCACAATAAAAAAATACAGAAAATAAAGAAAAGGAGGAATCTTTTAAAAGTCTATACTAAAAACATTGAAAAGCTGAAGTTTCAATTTAATGACTCCAAGAAAGGAACCATCAATTTAAAAGTAATACAACTTTTTTCTTGCACCTTGAGTACATGCGCATGGGCAACATAACTGCTTCCCTCATTTTTGTCTAAGAAACACATGAAAGATGATGCCAAAGTATTTAATAAGATTTTCATTTCAAGAATTTAATTAGAAATTAAAAACATATTCAAGAGCTGCAGTCTTTGCATGTATGAATTTAATTTTTGTATATACATTACAAGCAGCTGTAACTGTAACTGTTACATTGAAATACAAGTCAAAATCAATCTGATATTAAAGTGAACTCTAATAAGGTGAATGGCTTCTGTTTGTTTCCCAGAGTATGTAAGTTTGGTGAGTGGGTACAAAATCCATGAAAAAGTTGCATAAAGTTGTTTTATGGCTGCAGCAAATGCATATGTACAGCCATATGTGTACAGCAATTCACTGTAATTACGACTTAACAGTAGGGGGCTCCAAAGTCACAAAAAAAGCAAAACTACGTACAGTACAGTTGCTTTAATAGATCTCGCCTGCATTTCCCAAAAGCATTGTAAGCCTAAGTAGATTGCACAAATGGTCTGGACAATTTAATTAGGCTTA